TGCCGACCTTCAGCTGACTTCAGGCGAGAGGTATACCCTGGACAGGTCAACACACTGAAAAAATTTGTTAAATTAAGTGTATTTACCCTTAATTCCAGTAAATAAATGACATAGTTTACCAATGGAATGAGGATTTTTACTCTTAAAATAAGATAATTAGATAATTAGCTCTTGAAATAAGACAATGCAATTGTGTTTTTAGTGTAAATTGTTTTCCATTTGCGAAATGTATCTTTTACCTCCTCAATCCAAGAAGAAATACACTTATTCTAAGAAAAAATGACTTATCTAGATTTTGATTTTTTCCAGTGCAGGCTAGGGGTGTAAATCACATCCATCACGGCGATTCGATTCAGTATCGATTTCCTGACCCAACGATTCAATTATTTTCAATTCCCAAGAATACACCACGATTCGATTCGATTAATCGATTAATCGGTTAAATTTTTTCTTTATTATTTATTTATTTTTTTTACACCTTACAGGCTAAACAAAGTTTCAAGTTTGAAATAAATCAATGAAAGCTGTAATATCATTATGCATTTTCTTTAGAAACAACAGCAAATAACAGAAGTAGAAAAGTTGCATCAAAAAATACTGCAAAAATACTGCACAATATCAGTGTAATGAGTTCAATGCAATATCTCGGCTCCAAAGAAACTGTCCAACATATTTTTTTAGAATGTAATAAATATACTCAGGAAAGAGAGATGTTGTGTAGAGAGTTAGACAGGAATAAAAATAAACTAGATATAAGGGAATTGTTTCAAAGGTCATCTGGGGATGATTTTTAATTTTCTAAGAAGAACGGGTATTTTAGGGAGAATATAATAGTTTTTCTGGTCCATACTCCATTCTGGAAGGTGGCGGTAATGCACCTATAAGTTGTTTGCCAACCGCCATTAAAAAAAAGAAGAAGAAGAAGGCTCCAGAGTGTCGACGTCACCGCCCCCTTGAGAGACGCTCTGCTGCTCCTCTCCCAGATTGTAGCTGACCGCAAACAGTGCAGCAGACAGGAGGCCGGCTTGTTTTGTTTTTATGACCGAAATTGTGGAAAACAACTCGTGAAGTTTGACCCGCTAGAAGAGCGAGGTGCGCGAGAACGCTGGGACCCTTTTTCCAGCTGGATCTCCGCTCTTTTTGGTCCTCATGTCCCTCCGTCGTCGGACTAAACTCGCCCCCACTTCCTCGGCCGTATCTAGACCCAGTGTGTAGCTCAGACCACGCTTCAATATTGAGCATAAATCAAAAATGTCTGTGTGAAGCTTGCTGCAACACACTGCTGTAAGAGTATAACCAGGAAGCGAGGTAGGAGGGCAAAATAGGTTTAGCGCCACCGCAGCACGGGAGGAGAATTACGCCCAGGAGCAAATGGATAAAAATAGACCGAAGGAAAAAAAAAAACATGAATCGATTATCTTACGGACGTGTCGATGCATCGGATCGTCGGCTTTTGGATCGATGCATCGATACAAAACTATTATTATTTACACACCTAGTGCAGGCCATCGTAGTGCAACACAGAGACAAACAGGACAAAAAACCATTCACGCTCACACCTAAGGAGAATTTAGAGAAGCCAATTAACCTAACAGTCATGTTTTTGGACTGTGGGAGGAAGCAGGAGTACCCAGAGAGACCTCATGCATGCTCAGGGAGAACATGCAAACTCCATGCAGAAAGAACCTGGGCCAGGAATCGAACCAGCAACCTTCTTGCTGCAAGGCATCAGTGCCAAGTAGCCAAGTAGCGTAGAATCTAATTTCTGGGGCAGATCGGGCAGAGACGAGTGATAAAACAGAAAGAAAATACATTATTAACCTTTAACACATTTTATTTTAGTATGCTTATTATTTTTTGGGAGGGAAAATGTAATTTAGGTCTTTTTATTAGGTTTAACAAAATAAAATGGAAGGCAACCTGGATATATACCTGGATGCGCAAATGAGTTGATGGCGATGCGCTAGCCTGACGTAGTCCTACTCAATTCTAGTCAGAATATGAGTCTGATACTGCTCCATAGAGCTGTGGTTATGGGGCGTGTTTCGAACGAACCAGGAAAAAAAATGCCTCTGCACTCATGGATAGACCTACAACCAATAAGAGCAACGGAGTGCGTGACTTATGTTAAGCGACGCATAGTTGTTGTCAACAAAAATCAAAGCGTGCAGTTTCACGCCTAGAATAAGAAGATGAGCCTTGATCACGTTTCTCTGTTCCTCTTTTAAAATTAATTTGCTGTCGATATCTTCTAGAACAGACCTAATAGCAGAATCTACTCACCTCAACTCTCCAGCGGCAGCCATTGTTGTTGTCACCCATGCGCTCTTTGGTGACGTGGTTGATTACGTGACTGTTGGTCATCTGTCCATCATCGTATAAAGCCCGCCCTGACAATTTGACTGGCCCGCCAGATATTGTGCGAGCATACTCGCGCTACTATTGAGCAATGCCAGACCGAACTTCCCAACCTCAAACGTTGTGGGCGGGACTAAGTTCGGAATGGCACCCAGGCTAGCGATGCCCAGGACGGATCGTGCTTCTGGGACGGATCAGGTAGTGGCAGTGCCACAACAGTGCTAGAACACACTCACGTCTGAGTTAAAGTCTTATAATGATGACCTCATTTAACCAGCGTTTAATCTTTGAGAAAACAACTATTAGCCTAAAGTTGCTTTGCTAACATTACTCGCCACAACTAGGAAGGAAACAGTGTTTCAAGGGGCAGGATTTCCTGAAAGTAGCCAATCACAGGCAGTTTATTTTCTCATACCTGTGATATATAGTAGTTTTACATATATAAGCAATTTGTTTTGCTATGGTGCTGCTCATGGACAAACAAATATACAGCAGATGTAAAGAACTTAGAGGCATAAAGAAAGGTAACGTGTACAGGAATACTATAAGAGAGAAGAATAGGTGGACTTTTTCCAGAGAATCACGGTAAATACTGAAAACAACAGAATGAAATAACATTAAAGGTGGGGTATATGATCCTGGATAAACGGTTCCTGCCAGCTACATTTTTGAAAATACACACCTTCAGCCCACCCCACGAAACCACGCCTCCAAATTACATGAACGCGCCTGCTGTCAGTCGAGAATGTTCGGATGTTCCCGAGAACGAGAAAGAAACAGGCCGAGACCTCGCGAGTGCACGTGACTCGGGATGAGGCGAGAAGCTCATGTCTATTACTAGCTAACCACAACATAACAGGCTAACTTCCATGATGGCGTCGTCTTCTCCTAGTACGGTAAGAGTGTTGAACAATTCAATATGGTCGTAAACAAGTTGTCACGGTTGTCATTTCAAGAAGTATTGATTAGGGTGACCAAACGTCCGTATTTCCCGGGACATATCCGTATTTCACGTCCTGTCCCGGGCGTCCCGGGTTTTTTTTAGAAAGTGAGGAAATGTCCTGATTTCACTGCGCACGACGCTCCGTGTGACGTAATCCCTGAGCCGCGTCAGTGCAGGCAGCCCTGCTCTTAATCAGAGGCTCTGTTCAAAAACCTGGGCTGCATCCTCCAAGGACGCGGTCTACCTAGACTGGACCCTTCGAAGTCCTTGAAAATAAGGAGACCACAAGAGTTCTGGGGGGGGGGGGGGGTGTCACGAGTCTGTGAACGCGCAGGGGGGGAGGGGTGGGGAGAGCTCAGAGCTGACGGTTGATGGGCGTGCCAGAAACCAGTAGAAGTAGGGATGATAGTTACTTCTATTGGTTTGCGTTTTCCTCTGACTACGCCCTCTACACTGGACTAAAAGATTTCGTTTTTTTTCCAAACATTCTATCTCAGTTGGCGCAATGGGCTCGTGAGGAGGTTTTCAATCAGTATGGTAAAAACATGCTCCAGAAAACATCACATACCCCACCTTTAAATAGTAGGCTTTGTCGTATATTTTCACATTTTTTTCTTCTTCTTTTATTTATTTTTTTTCTTTTTAGATGGGAAGACGTTTTTTTGTGGCAGCAGGTTTTGTCCCTTATGGAATTGTACCTGCTGGCCTCTTGGTCCTGGAGGTGTACAGTTCCTAAAGAGAAGGAAGATCGCAGCAAAAAATAAAGTCAAAATCCAAATATAAATCCATTTAACAATATTTATCATGACCTCAAACTCATCGCTCAGGTGATCTTTATCAAGGGTGGTTGAGCTTGTTTTGCTAAACAAGAATAAAATATTTCCATCTTTAGATGTGAAACTTGTCTACGTCAACAACTAAAGCGGGTATTGAATCATGGAAACTTAATACAAATGCTAAGTTTTATTCTAATGTGTATTTAATTCTGTATTCTTCTTTGGAAAGCAGATATGAATTTCCCTTCATTTAAAAAAACAGGCACTATTTTGTGTTGGTGTATCGTTCAGGATGATAGCAAAAAGAAAAAACAACAGGTTGATGTAGCATGAAGACGTGTAAAAGTTCCTGTAAGTTTGAATACTTATGCAAGGCACTGTGTTGGTGAAGCTACGATGATAAATCAGGTGTGTTGTTAAATAAATGACTCGTCAAAGCAGGTGTTGTTCTGAATCCTTCCATCGGTGGGAATTCTTGGATTGGCGCGGTATTTTCCAGCTCTCCTCTGTCCTGAAGCTAAGCCCCTGGCCTCTTGACCCAACCCACACCTTCCTCCCCTCTCTCACGCCCCCTTTTTCCACGCTGAACCACTGCTGCTTGAAGACATGCCCTATCGCTGGACCCTACATCCCTCCCATCCCCCCCTGCCTGGACAGTCCACTGACTCTACATGAGCAGGAAGGAAAAATCCAAAGGAACCCCTGTGTATGTTAAGATAAACATTCCAATCAATGAGCAAATCAATTATTGATCCATCGTTTGATTCTTTCAATCAAATAAAAGATCAAATATTTGATTTTCTTTCTTTTTTTTTTTTTACGTTATTTTATTTTGTTGAGTAGAGTTCAAAGTAAGAAAAGCAGCCATGTTTGATTAAAACCTCGTCTCTGTTCTGCCATTCTGTTGATCCCCTTTTTGCCAGGACTCTCGTCGCCTGGTTCTCATAAGAAGCTGGGGAAATTCGATTTCAGCGCCCTGTCCTCCCAGACGAGGTCCCCCCGCATGGCGTTCACCCACCACCCACTGCCAATGCTGGCGGGAGTGAGACCAGGTGAGACCAACCCAACCAACCGACAATCCCAGCTCCCACTGATCGCCCACCCCCCCACCTACCCTCCAACCCCTTCCTCTTCACCATCTCCTCCTACCCACCCCACACTTCTTCCAGGACCCCCTCCACACCCACCCCTCCCCTCCTGTGGTTAAGAGGTGGGGCTGTTGTCTCTGGGAGATGAGAGCATTTTAAAGCTCCGTAGGTCTGTGCCTCCTTCTGTCTGTCCTCCAGGCCTGAGGTGTGCCGGTCGCGTTGGTGAGGGAGCTTCTTGGTCTCTGGGTGTGGTTTGTTCAGACTATTTTAGTGGCTGGTTGGTGGTGGGAAATCTGTGCTGTGCAGGGTCCTGGTATATTTCCGATGCTATGGAGTGAACTCTGTTTCGTTATTGTCAAAAGCAAAGAATTATTTTTATAAATGAAAATGTATAAATTTTCATTAGTAAATGAAAATTTGAAAGAATAACAAGAAAACATTTTGTAAACGAAAAATACAAAAATATAGGCATATATATATATATATATATATATATATATATATATATATATATATATATAATTTTTTTTTTTTTACAGATTTTATGTTTGTATTTTTCAATGTACTTTTTTGCATTAGGTTTTATTTAATAAAATTCTTTTCAAACTAAATTTACCAAATAACATTTTCTTCACTTCTGGGGGCGGGCTTTCATATGGAGGGAAGAGGATGATGGCAAAAACATTTTTATTGGGCTTAAAGTAAAAATAAATTTGTAAAAGTCAGTCTGAAAATAGAAATAAAAAAAAATAAAGTATGTATGTGGGAAAAATTTATTTTAAATTTTTTTTTAAAAATCTGTGAAAAAAAAAAGATTTGAAATATTTGTTCCTGATTAAGAGGTTGTTCAAAGTTTATCTTTTTGATTGCTTTTTTTTTTTCAAATTTGAATTTTCTTTTTTTTCAACAATAATGGAACACATTTCATTCCATACAATACTTCTACCCTTTTTCTGAAACTCAGATGCTTCAGATTCAATTACAGTGCCTTGCAAAAGTTTTCATTTTTCTACAGCTTTTATCAACTCTTCAACCACGAGCTTCAAGGTATTGCATTAGAATTCAGTGCAGTAAATCAGCATAATAACATAAAATGGAAGGAAACTGTTGCATTTTTATTTTGTCTCAACACAACATAACCGATTCTTTTCTTCAGCACAGACGGAGAAGCTGGTTGTAGTTTGAAGAAAATATAAATGGAGCTCAATAGAGAGTTTTAAAAGCTGAAGTGATGCTGGTTAAACCCTTCTGTCTTTCTCTGCAAAGAACTACTGTATCGGCATCAGCGAGTACCAACAAATAGGGCACTGATAACATTTTGAGAGCCAAAAGTTTATTCAACTATTATCACCTATTCCAGGTAGGCAATAAAAAGTTCTACTGGATTCATTTTGTTTTAGTCTTTTTCCTGCTTCACAAAGGTAGGCAGCAGCTTGACAAAGCCATGATGGCAATTATTTCACATCCAAGTAGTTTGCAGTTCTTCATATATACACACACACATAAATTTAATACAGATGATATCGGTATCGGCCGATACTGCACAGCCAGGTATCGGTATTAAGGCCAAAAAAAAAATACCTTTAGCTTAAGTAGTTTCCATCTCTCTGGAGACAAATCATCCCATCAGCATGGCGCTGCCACTACCGTGCTTTGGTGCAGATGGCTTAAATGGACTTTATCTACTGTTTAGATGGCTTCTTATGAGCATCAGAGTAAAAGTGGATGCATATACACTAAATGAAAGGCATGAAATTTCTCATTTTTGTTTATAAAAAGAAAAAAGTGGTTGTCAAGTGAAACATGGAAAAAAATCCAGATCTGTTCAAGGCTTCATATTTAAGAGGTTGAGGATATTTTTGAAGTTTATTAACTTCTAATAGAGGTAAAGTTTACGCTTTGTTTTTATTTCGTGACTTCATTCAGTCGAGTACAAAAACCATTAAATTCACATTTCCTAAAAAGCGACGTAGTTCTCAAGAGTTCTCCAGTTGTTTCCCAACGCCACAGTTCGCTGTCAATAACGACCATTTTTTCTATAAACCCAGATGTGAAATATTGAGTATTGGAGGCGTTTTAAAACAGCTCTCCATAATTTAAACAAATAGGCCGGATGATGTCATAATAATGCTGTCATCGTGTCAGCCCCAGCTTGACATTTAAAATTGTTAGCAGAGAGTTTGCATGACTAAACGCTAAACTGAAGAAGAAGGGTTGCTTTTTTAAAATATTTTTCTGGAATGGATATTTGAGAAATAAATATTTGAATTAAAGTTAAAATCAGAGAAAGTGGAAAAATAGATTTCTGTAAAAAAAAGGAATATTTATTCCGTAATGTGCATCTTTATTTTCCCATCTCACTCCTTAAATTGTAGTGAAAAATGTCCAGAACAAAGTTCTTTAAACTCATTCTCAGCAATGCCACTAGGAAAGTTGTAATATTATTGTATATTGCAAGTCATTTTTCTTTCGCTTTTGTAGCTCTTAGTGATGAAATAACAAATCAAAACATTTAAAAACCCCAGGAAAGGATCCTTTTAATAGTTACACAGTAAAAAAGAACAACTTGGACCCATTTAGGTGTTTTTTTGCCGTATTACATGAGTTTGCCTCTTTCCTTATTAGGGCTTTAATCCTGAGCAAGCTCAAACTCCCCAGATATCCATCATATCAAAGCGGTTATAGACATAAACCATCGCTCTCCTATTATTATTAATTTATTACAACCACAGCACGGACCAAATATGCGACTTTCTCTGCTTTTCTTTTGTAAACTCACCCAATGGAGGAGCTCATTGTGAATAATTACACATGTGCTTTAGTTCTGCAGCTAAGCTTCAAAGCATTTTTAAGTCATCGAGCAGATGTGAGGTTGACCGCTGTGTCATTATACCCTCCTCTGCGGTTGTTGACATACCCCGTGCCTCTTGAGATGGAAGCGCAGCAGATCTGATCCCCGCGCTCGCCTGTGCACCGCGCTCATTCACACCAGCGCACGGTGGTGTACACGCCGTCCCCGCGCTGTCGTGTTGTGATTTCTTTTCAACATTGAGTTTGGTGCCTTGCTTGTGTAAAGCTGCCGGCCACATCATTAGCTCTGTTGGCACGTGGGTCAAACAAGGTTCACAGGATTTCAGCGGCACGAGAACGGGGATTGTGCAAAATGGTGCAGCGAAGCACATGTTGTTGTGGTGATGCAACGAATCAATCATATGTGATTTAAAGGAGCATTTATTTACCTTTATAGAAGAGTTTCCCCCTTTTTTCAACACTTTATGATATTTAAACACACAACTGAATCCTCTTGCGCAGCATAAGCATAGCTGAGATGCTATATAAATAGCTTTAGTAGTGTATTAGCTCAATGAAACAATACAAAATGATGAATTTATCTGTTAAAATGAGGAAGTTATGTCCCCTAAAAAAAGGCCGCTGCACCTCGGGGGCTTCCTCAGTTCTTTTGCTGGGAGCAAGTTATTTACTACTATTAACTCAAACTGGGTAGAAACATGTAAAAAGGACTATAAAACAGGAGTAAAAAGTAACTGAGTTTATTCCAGATCAGGTCGTTACAGGACAGAGAAAATGCTTGGAGTTTGCACAGCTGTGGGCTCAAAAATCACGTCCGCGAGCATCCGGCAAAGATTGAGCCCCGAACAAGCTGCTTCTTATAGCTCATGAGTCTATGTGTTGCACCAGGTGGATGCTTAGTTGTCCGTATCAGAAACTGACACGTCATCCATGCCCAAGGATTACAGATAGCTCTCCTCTATCAGTCCGGCTCCAAGATGTGCCCATATCCTGTGTATTTTTAAAGACACGAAGGCTGCCCTGATTAGATGACCTCCGTACACACAGTGACATCCACCATGTGAAGGAAGGCCATCTACTCTGTCTAATCTGACTAATAAAGTAACAATGCACATGATGTATAAAGAGTAAACCTAATATATCTTATAAATATATTGTAATTACATGTCTTTGGTTAAACACATGCTAATTTTAGGCTTACCATCCACTTCATTTTGGAAAATTCTCGCCTATTTTGCATACCCAAATGGAAAAGCAAATAACTTAGGAACTGTAAGCCCAAATTACATGTGTGACACATTATTTGAAAGCTAACACCTTCTAGTTTTAAATATATGCATGAAAATTGGGTGAGTAAAACACAGCCCAAGCTGCATCAGTTCAAACTTGACTCAAAGTTGTTTGTATTTATTCTTGAATATAATAGTAGCAGTAATAAAGACATGGTTGCTTGTTGCGGCTGGTTTGTCATGTCTACATTTTGACATGCTGCTATATCTGTGTTAATTGCACTTTGGTGCTCGCTATGTCCATAAAATGAACTTGGTGGTTGAATGGAATTGAATTCCAACAATGTCTAATATGTCTATATTGGTAAAGCTTTTACTAGTTAATTTTCATGCATTCTGAGTTTTCCATATGAATCCCAGATTGTTCTTCTTTGCCTTTTCTACAAAGTGTTTTAAATCAGTCCTAACTTTCTTTATCCACGCTGGGTCAGATCCGGACGTTTGAAAAAGGAGGCAGGGAAAGCAGAATAAAGAGTTAGCCTCGCTGCATGCAGGTAGCCAAGCCTTGTAGCTAAACAAGGTCCTGGAAAAGGACGTTTCTTGCACCATTTCTCTCTCTCTCTCCAATGCGTTTCCAACTCCCGCGACTCAACCTGTCAATCATCCGCAAACGTCTGCACTATGGCATGAGGTGGTGAGCAAATACACTTCTTGTCCTATACTTTAGTATTGCAGAGGAGCTACTGCATATGTAAAACATTTAACGGGAGTCAATGGGGAAATATTTTTGCAACCTAAGCTGGAAATACGTCACCAATCTGACGAAAAGCTTCACTCCTCATTAAAGATTAAATATTTATCTTGCACATCTAAAAATATATATAAGCCATATATTTAGAAATATTTTACATATTGTTTTAAATTAAGAAATCTTCATCTACAAGGAAGAAAGATGATTTGAGAAAGAGGTTAAGGAAGCCATCTTTGTTAACCTTTCAACTACTTACAAAGCACATTTAGGAACAATACCAACAAGATTCACCTCTCTCCTGCCCTCGACTCACACTTCAATGAGTCATGTGACAGAAACCACTCTGACGAGGCAGTTAACGAGCAACCAGAAACCCCTAACCACTATTAACCACTCAGGTGACCTCCATGGCCAATCCAGTAGAAGGGCTCAGACCTACCTTTTGTTCCACCTACAGTACATTAATCTCAGTGCTCCCCACCACTAGTTATAACTTGGGAAGTCTCTTGGATGAGAGGTGAAACGTCTTCCAGAAAAACTTCATGTCCAGTTGTCTAGACTGAACTTTTCAAGCTTCACTCTGACCTGGACGATCGAGTCTTCACAGATATGTAGAGCCTGGTGTAGAAAGCGAGGGTTAACTCTGAGGTCATTGGTCCACCACCAGGACAACCGTGACAACGTACTGCAAAAAGCTTCTAGAAACAGACGGACACAAAGAGATGGCAGATGAACATGGCTAGCAATGAGTCCGGATCTAAAACTCATTGAAAACTATCCTTTAACTATTAAAGCCCAACAAAGAGATGTTAGGAGCTTGTTAACGGTTACAGGAAGTAAATTATTATAGTTGGGTTTTTTTAAGGGGTCTCCATCTATTTAAGAACTTGTTTCTTTTAGTATTTCTGGCTCTTATCTGTAGTTTTGTGTAAAATGTTTACTGCTTTTTGGTTGTTCCAATCGTCACAAAGAAATAAACCCGTTTATAAAAACCTGTAATTTAAACTATTTTTGTCTTTGTACAGTGAAATTCTTTACAAACCGTCTGTAATCGTTTGTTACCTTAACTTTTTCTCCTTAAACTAACTCTTTTTAGCTTATATTATGCAACATCTATGACAAATTTAATGTGAAGCTAGTTTGATTTTAACAATCTAGAATTTGCAATGGCTGTAAAAACTTTTTAGAGCCACTGGAAAGAGTCTTGTACAGTTTAAAGTGAAAAGTTAAGGCCTACGCCAGCAAATATCTTCTTTGTGGTGGAAAGAATGAAAAAAGAGAGATATTGCTGATAACAGGAGTGTCTGTACTATCCTATATCAAGTGGGTTTAGCCCCAGGTAAGATGCCTTAGTTAATGCGCGACACGCGGCCAAAATCACTTTAGCTGGGCCCTGAGCAGATTTTCATTGGCAAAATGTGCCCCTTTGGAGATTTAACTAATTTTATGATTTAAAATGGTCTTATGTTATTCTATATAAGTTGGTCATCATTAAGGTTTATCAAGTTATGCTGTTTACAGTGATATACAGTTTAATGTTACAACTATGCCTAATATGATTGACTGTGGAGAAAGATTATTGTTTGGTGAAAACTAGCCCAGGATCTTACAACGTTTAATACCCAAAGAGCCACATGGAGCCACTTTCCATGGGAAAGAAAACACATGGAGCTGCAAATTCTTTTCTGATAACTAAAATGAAGATATGTTTGTTTTTTTCTTCAGTTTTATGCAATCCCTACTGCCAGCAGCAGAGCAGCTCTCCGGTGAAGCCGGGCATAAACTGTAAGATTTTTTGCCCTTTTCGGGCCGACTTTCAACCTGATTGTGCAGAGAACAGGGGGTAACAAGGGGCAATCAGCCTCCAGATTAGCAATCCTGAGGTTGAGAGATAATCAAACGTGTTTGATGTTCAGTCGACCGTCGTGGGCAAATCGCTTAGTGCACAAACAAGGACTCTTCTTCTTCCTCCCTCGGGCGAAAACACAGAACCATGCGTGTTAAATGGAGTTTCTGTAAAACTGACAGACCCTAGTAGCCATGTTTGCTCAGCCATGTCTTTGTCCAAATACGTTTTCGCCTTTTCTTTTTAGGGCTTTCAGCACAAAATTGCACAAATTGTCAAGCAGTTTCACTCTAGAGAGCTTAATATTTCTCGTCTACTAGTTTGGCTTCCGGATAGACGAGTCCGAGTAGCGCCATATCACTGCGGAGCTGACTCCCACGTGGTTTTTAGACGTACAGTGTGAGCAGGTAGATCGCATCAGAGCGTCGGGTCGCACAGAATGAGAACATACATCATGAAGTGATGAGCATGAAGTGCTCACACTGTACGACGAAACCACAGGGTTTTGAGGTACAGTGTGAGCTGTAGCTCAATGCAACGATTGAAAAGCTCACATTGTATGCCCGGCTTTAGTGACAGGCGGCATGCAGGTTGAACAGGGTCCCAGTGCCCCCCAATTTACATTACTACTACATTGTCTAATTTAACAGGGTTAAGAGCTGATCAGATAATGTTGAAGTAAGCTGGTTGTTGAAGTAAGCTTGACAAAGCTACGATGGCAATTACTTTACATCCAAGTAAAATGCAGTTCTTGATATATACACACTCACATCAATGGTATCAGGTATCAGCATCGGGGCCAAAAAATGGCATCGGCGCAACACTAGTATATAGTACAAAAAAAGTATAAAAAAAATAACGCCGGCTTTTGTGAAATCTTGAACAACAGAGCCAGCAGACACGTTAGTCCAAGCATCTACAATCCATCCGCCAACGGTGGTGTAACTTGCCCGGCGCTGCCTTCCACTTATCCTGAAACTGTGGTCTCCGTCGGTCATCCATCGCTCCCACAACGCTCGCAGCCTTACTTTGAACGGCCGGTTCACACCGATGTCGAGCGGTTGAAGTTCCTTTGTCAGACCCCCGGGATAACAGCGTTCATTTGATTCACCATTTTTTTTCACATCGGCTGTGAGATGGGCACGCAGTCACAGATTAACAGCGATGGTGATGCGTGGAATAAAAAACACCTGGTCTCACATACACCTCCCTCAGCCACGCTTTCATCATCTCCTCATCCATCCAGCCTTTTTCATTTGCGTTAATATCATATGTCATCAGAGCGCTGTGTCTGTCTCGCTGTCAGCTCCCAGATCAGCTTCTCTGATTGGTTGATGCGGCGCGTCCAGCAGCAAAACTTCAATTTTTCCATCTCGAGCAGCAGCGCGTTGGCAGATGCTTAAACGCTCCCGACGCGCAGCGCCTGCTGCTCAAAAGGCGCTGCGGGACCTTTTGCTGCACCTATACGCGCGTCAACCATTGACTTGCATTTAAACTCGCTGCTTCTGCTGCACCTGCTGGGTCCGGTTCACACCGATGTCGAGCGGTTGAACAGCGAGCACAGGGTTAATTTGTTTCACCATGTTTTTCACATCAGCTGTGAGATGGGCACGGATGGAGTCACAGATTAACAGCGATGGTGATGAGTGGAAAAAAAACACCTGGTCTCCTTACATTCAGCCACTCTTTCATCATCTCCTCAATGAGGTGGTCTCAAAAGTCGCAGTTACAACACACATAGGGCACACCGCACCAAAGGGCGCACCGCACATTTTGAGGGAAAAGGGGATGTTTAAGTGTGCCTTATAGTCGTGAAAATACGGTAAACAGGCTACACAGTAGTTGGCATGGGTTATTGCACAATGAGAGAGAAGAGTATTGCACATGAGTGACAATAGCTAATGCAACCAGCTCCGTGTTGCATGTTCAATAAAAAGATAAAATCTTACAGCAGAATAAATTAAAGGGTAAAAAGGAGCTGAAAAAAGTTAAAAAATAGTGAACAAAGAGTAGAAACTAGAGAGCTACTGGAGAGGCTGAGGTCTCCTACAGCGCGGGAAATCACTGCAACATACATCTATTCAGCTTTAATGTGTGCAAAGAGAATTCACTGGTAAAAGGCAAATGTTTTTGTTATAATTTCTCATGATTACAGCTGATTTTGTTTGAGAAGTTGGTTATGTTGAAGTTGATTTTGCTGAAGTGTGACTGCAGCCTGTAACTGTGGACTTAATATACCTAAAGAACTCTTAATGTTGTCTTGTATGTATTCATGGGATTGTTTATGTAACATAAGCAAATATATTTTTTAAAATGCTTAAATCTTATTGTTTGTTTTACTCTTTCTGTCACTCATTTATTACCTAAACTGTCCTTTTCATTTGAAGAATGTTCTTTTCTCAACCCCCTTTTTTTAATCCTGTCCAGCCTGTGTCCATCTAACACAAACGTCTGTGTTCACAGGGAGTCCCCGGGCTTCAGCCTCTGCCCTACACTTCCCATCCCCCTCCATCATCCAGCAGTCTAGCCCTTACTTCACCCACCCCACCATTCGCTACCACCACCACCCTGGACAGGACCCCCTGAAGGAGTTTGTGCAGTTCGTCTGTGCTGATGGCTCAGGGCAGGCCTCCGGACAGGTAAGGCTCTCCAACAGCGAGGAGGGAAGCTGCTCCGTAAAGCTGGAGCCTCAGATAGAGAAAATATGATAAAAAAAAACAATATTACAAAACATGGAATCTAAAAGCAGAAAATAGAGCATGTTAGTAGAAAAAGAATGGAACAGAATGCTACTTCTACAAACTTTTGCTTCCATAAAAAAAGTGTTTAGCTTGCTTGACATTTACCTACTATATTAGTATATTTGACATACAAATAGTGTAAATTTGTAGTACAGAAATAGGTTAACGCCACAGTTTTACAATTATTTTATTGGGATTTTATCTGATAGACCAACAGCAACAAAAGTGACATGTATTCATAATTGAACGCTTATTGAAGCATTTTTTCTGCATTTATAGCTGCAGTTCGTTGTCTCTACCAGATTTGCATGTTGGTAGACCAAACTGAATGGAGAGCATCCACAAATACAGAGTTCAAAACTTTTTAGGTATATACAGTTCAATCTGAAAAACTCACACAGAGAGAAAAGACAATTAGAAGAAATTTATTGATACAAATTCTTGGTTTTTGGCGCTCAGACCTCTGCAGGAAACATAGGTTTGAATTTTGATTGATATGCATGAACAGGAGCAAAGAATAGGGCTGTTTCCCCCAGGCCTGAAACTGGTGGTGGAGTGGAGATAGATGGAGTTGGTCAGTCTGTAGACTGCTGGTTAGCGAGACGGTCTGCTGAGCTTTATGGTGAGATCCAGTGGACTGCGTGAGCTGATATTAGAGCTTCACTCAGGGACCTGGAAGATGGAAGTCCAGCTTGGATAACACAGGTTGAGAGAACCTGTCCATGATGAGCAAGCATGAAGCGACAGTGGAGAGGAAAAACCTAACCTGACTCTGCCAGATGGATTTGCTCCGCATATCCATCTGGAAACCTTCCGTAGAAGTAATTTTGGGAAGGGGCGAAAATACTGGTTAGCTGATTGGCCTATGTTGGTGATAGACGGGCCAAATAAACCAATCAGATCAACGAAGCATATGACGTACTAACAGAGCGATGACAAAAACACAACCACAAGCCAGGCTACTCTTGCCAAAACCAGTCGGGAGAAGAGCAAAAACATCTTTTCCTCTGAGAAAAGCCTCCAGAGCAGTGTTTTGCTCATCTTCCAGTGAAGAAATACTCTGTAATTATGATAAAACTAACTAACTAGCTAACGCTAGTTTCATCCGCTGAAGCCGCCATGTTCTTTAGACTGAACTGTCGAGCTTCTCATTGCGTCACACCTCAACCCGCCTCAAAGCCAACGCTGATTGGACGTTCGTTTGGTAAACGGCTCCAAATTTTCTTCAACGGAGAGTCTCCAGACTGATCTGTGAGTGAAACCTTGAAAGCTCGGATCAGGATGGTCTCACAAGGCTAGAAAAACCCCCATTGGGAAGAAACCTCTGGCAGAACCAGGCTCAACGTGGTGGTCTTCTGCCGGACCGGTTGAAATGAACCGCAGAATACAGTAACAGTCTTGGAGGAATGAAACTCTGACAAAGTTTTAGCAACGATGGTGGAGGAAGGGATAGAGGTGGGTTGAAACGGGGTCATCTGAATCGAAGTCTGACACAGGCAGCATCATGAGGTAGCAGGCAAGTTGCGGATCGGAGGCCTTTTAAGATGAACTTTAGATGCTTATTGGCTTTCAGCAGAGCTGATTGGCAGTGTCACAGGTGGATGGAGGCGAGTAATCAGTTTATTCAGTTGAACTTCTGCCTAGGCTCCATTATATAGATAGATTAAGATCTAGCCTTTGACTGATCCATTCTGACACATGAACATACTTTGATCAAACACAGTAGTTCAGCTTTGATTGTATCTTTAGGGTTCCATTTTAGGTGTTTTCTTCTCCACACCAACGTTAATCGGATCACTAATCTCAGCTGAGCAAAGAGCACGTTTCCACCATCACTGGGTTTAGAGGGAAAAAGCTTTAATTTTCTTCCAAGCATATTGTTTTTCATCTAACAAGACTTTTCAAGAGTGAAAGCTGTGACAGCCAATCACACAAGAAAAGACGGTGGGCCAATCACGAGCTTGTGGGTGGTCTAAACTAAGGAAAGCAGGCTTTAGTTTGAGCTGCGGTTTTCCACTTGGTCCTGGTGCTCGACTAATATCTGTGTACTGTAGCGTACCATCGTTTTTAGACAGTAAAAAGTGCAGGGGACCAAAACGGACCTTTGAAAAAGTGCATTTGAGAGTTCTGCCCTTTAGTTTTTGTGTGAATTTTCATTACCAGCCATGGAAGGCTTAAGGCCTATTTTGGGGGGGATGAGGCCTCCCCAAGTCCTATAATTGTTAACAAACTCCTAACATCTCTTAGCTGGGATTTTAAACCATTCTTCTGTTGGTCTCTAATAGTTAAAGGATGCCTTCTTCTTCCACCAGGGATTATATAATTTCCATTGAGTTTTAGATTCAGACTCATTGCTAGACATGTTCAGACTGCCAGCTCTTTGTGTCTGTCTGTTTCTAGAAGCTTTTTGCAGTACGTTGTAGCCTCTGTCCTGGTAGTGGACCAATGACCTTAGAGTTAACCCTAGCTTTCCAACACCAGGCGGTACATATCTGTGAAGACTCTCAATCATCCAGATCAGAGTGAAGCTTGAAAAGTTCAGTCTAGACAACTGGACATGAAGATTAAGTTTTTCTAGAAGACTTTTCGCCTCACATCCAAGAGGCTTCCTCAGTTATAACTAGTGATGGGGAGCACTGAAAAAGTCCCCCCCATCCCGCCCAAAAATTACGTCCATGTTGGGCTGTATCCTCTAAGAAGCTTGAGGTCAATGGAAGTTGCTTTCTTTCAATTATATCTTTCTTATGGCCAAATTGATGAGGGCATCAATGAAAGTTGTTCCGTCAACAGTTTGCCTTACTCAAACTGCTGGTCTCTGTAGCTCCACTAGACCTGCCATTGGACTGTTTACTGCCGCCCTAGTGAAGGCTTCATTTTTCACATGAAAGGTAGATGAGTGCTCGGTGGGATTTAAACCCAACCTCAGTCTTCATGAGGCTGTTGGTTCACTGATGTTCTAGCAAACCTCTGAGGCCTTGCAAAAAAGTTAAAAAAAGAATCCACTGGACTTTGTTTCCAAGTTTGAAGATGTTTCGCTTCTCATCCAGGGAGCTTTTTTCAATTCAAAATGTCAGGAATAGCATTGAGTTCGAGGTATGGGGCTTTGCAGGCTAACAAAAGAAGCCAAACGACCCCCATTCCAAGGGGTGGACCGTCGTCCGTTTCAACTTGCATGTTTCCTAGAAAACAAGGGCTTGTTGGGCTACTATATAATGCCTCAAACTCAAGGCTATTTCTGACATTTTGAATTGAAAAAGCTTTCTTGATGGGAAGCGAAATGTCTTCAAACTTGGAAACAAAGTGCAGTGGATTGTTTTTTAACTTTTTTGGAATGACTATGACCTGGATGACTGGGCATCTTGAACAGCACTCTGAGGCCTTCACATAAAAACTGGATTTATACTGAGATTAAATTCAAAAGGGGAATGTTGGCCTAGTGGGTTACAGCAGTGCACTTGTGCTCTGGGAAGGTTGCAAGTTCCCTGTTTGATCCCCACTGACTGCCACACTTGGTTCCTGAGCAAAACCCTTAACCCCACACTGCTCCCTGGGCACCACACAATGGCAGCCATTGCTCCCCAAGGAGATGGGCCAAATGCAGAGAGTGAATCTCCCCATTGTGGCACAATAAAGGGATGTACTATACTTTTTTTTTTTTTTTACATAACAAAACAGATGGACGCAAATTATGGATTAAGTAATGACTGAATACATTTTTAGGTTTTATTTAAGGGGTTTATAGTAAACAAGGCTGAATGTACTTTTTAAGCACTGCTTTGTGTTCTGTCGCATGAAATCCCAATAGAATAAGTCTGTGGTTATAACCTGAAAAGTGTTTTTCATATTTAGATTACTTTGACCACAGACTGCTTCTTTCTTTTAATGTGACCCCAGGACTAACAGCACAAGAGACACACCCACAAATGCATCACACTAGTCACATACCCAGCCAGCTGGTCTAGAAATCTCTGTATTGTCTCGTCAGTGTCATTTTGCTGTTTCTTGTTCCAGACCCCCAACGTTTTCTGCTTCTCCTCTCGTTGTTTTCTTTCTATTGCTCCACCCAACCCCTCCAAAGTTACAACCATCAGCACGAGTCAATCAGTCACGGCACGCTTCAAGTCAAACACACCATTCCTGTGTTGTGTCATTGTGTTTGTTTTCATCTCTATAGCTGTTCCGATTTCAGTTGTTCAGTTTTTTTGGTTGTTTGGGATTTGGTATCGTTGGTGGTGTTGTTGTGATTGTGTAGACGAGTGTTCTGCCATGGTTTTAATTTCTTGTCATCTGCTGGATGAGTCCAGTCAACTGGTTCTCTCACTCCCCTCCCCCACCCACTGCTTCCACAACCTCCTTTCACCCCACACGGATCACCTCGATGGAACCTGGTCCCGATCCAAATCACTTCTTGTGGTGACTTTTATTTTCTCACACCTTCATCAAAGATGGCGTCCGCATACTTCATTCGTTTAGTTTGTTTTTTTTTACACTCCCGTTCTTTTCTTCCGTCATGAAATTGTTTATTTTGGGCCCGGCCTCCTCCAGCCGCTCCCCTTGTCCATTCCGTGTCTGCGGGTTGTCGCATGCCGCCCTCTTGATCCTATTTGTGTTGTCCGCAGCCGAACGGGAGCGGCCAGAGCAAAATGCCAGGCTCCTTCTTGCTGCCTCCACCTCCCCCAGTGGCCCGCCCAGTGCCCCTCCCCATGTCCGACTCTAAACCCAACAGCACGCCCCCAGACGGCGGACTCTCCTCGCCCGCATCACCGTGTAAGTGACCCCGCAGAGACCGTTTTCAAAGTAACGACTAAAACAAAAAACAAACCCTCCCTGTAGTGACAAAGCCCAGTGTCGTGTTGTTCCCTCTCCAACCTCGTGCCATAAATCTGTACCAGCATCTCACTCTCCCTTCCTTCCAGAAGAATTTGGAAACCTGCACAGAAAATAACGGGCAGCCCAAATGCTGCAGAGTTTTGATGATGTGTCATTGTAGACATGCGTGGCACTCCACATGGCTTTTTATTCGGCCCCCTGAGCTTTGGTGCCACCACAAGCTGAAGCTGCTTAGCGTGTTGTACCATGAAAGCTTCGCTACGCCTCTATTTCGTCTTTTCCTCCCCGAAAGGACTTACCGGCAAACTTTCAGGTTTGAAGTGTAAACTGTCTCCAGAGGGGCACAAATTTAGGGCAGTTTTTTTTTCCATATGGACTCCGAAGCAGAAACTGGGACATTGCTGGATGTCTTTTTTTTCTTTTGTAATTGATTTAAACTTTGAATTTGGATACTTTAGATTTATGAACCTTAAACAGGAAGAATATGTCAGGTGTTTAAGGTAAGGGAGTGATGACAGAGATACCTTTGTAGCAGAGGGGCACTGGATGGAGCGCCTTTTTTATTTTTAACTTTTAGCTCTTCTTCTAAGTTAGTGTTTTCCTTTTCCCCCGAGTCAGTGTCTCCAAGTCTTTAATGTCTTTTGTATGTTATTTCAATTCTTAGAAACACATAGACGTATGCTGTACCTTCCTTCCTGTGTCTCTCATTACTGTCCTTCCTCCCTTTCCTGCACACAAACAGACCACACGTCTGCACACTGCTTCCCCGAGTCCTTCACGAGGTTTAGGTCTCTGGAGTCCGTGGGGGAACCTCAAACTGCCCTAAATTTGTCAGAGACGTTGATGCCAGGGGGTTTTGAATATCCCCCGACTGATCCTCAGCGTCAGGATTCAGCTGCGTTCAATCTGTCAGCGCAGAGTTTGTCAACTTGATTTAATCACTTAGGGAGATCTGAGTTTGCATATCTGATTATGGAAAACATTTCCGTGGGGTTTAACTGACCTCAATGATGTGCAAAGCAGTACATCTTTAATTGGTCTATTGGTGTATTTATTGACTGGCTGTTCAGAAACTTAATGTCTATATAACTCAGATCTGCATGATATTCACCAAAGGTGTAGGTGCCATTAAACCTTTGATAAACTACTTTTCTGTATTTAAAAGTCTTCTCTCACAATGGTGCAGATGTGCATAAAATAAGTTGCTTGTTAGGAACTCAAAATCATATTGATCCTACAATTTAAAGAAGATGCCAACAAAGTCGCTGAAGTGACGTAACATCAGTTGACTGCAACAAACATAATGAAATTTAATTCTTTACTACAAGATTAACCTGTTTTTTTAGAATCATATGAAAAACAAGGACATCTATGTGATTGAAACAACTGTTGTCAAGGTAACGCTGTTTTAAAACTTTGATTCGCTTCAGACTTAAGTTACATTTCCTGCAAATTCACCTAAAAGCATATCGGTAGCTATATATATCGAAATAATGCAAAGTTATGCATATTTTAAACATACCAAGGACTTAATGCAAACACTTATGTTTTGGAATCTTAACCCTTTAAAACCAAGTGTATCATATTTGAAACATGCATTTCTGAGATCACTTAATCGTCATGGTGATATTTTGGTTCTTGAAAACCCGGACTTACACAATCAGACACGTGTAGTGAACAGAAAACATATAAAATATTATACAAAAATGCTGCTGATGTATCAAAATTGATGCAAATAAATGATCTCATTTATATTTTACAAAATGTATTTATTTCATTTTTCAGAAAGTTCAATGAAAACTGTAATTAGAAAAAAAACTATTTAATTGCCTGTCAATTATTTTCATGTCCAGGCTTTAAAGGGTTATGCCTAATTTAACTAATTTCTATAATAATACTTATAAATACGTATATATTGAGTACTTTACAATTGGTATTTTCAACTCAACAGTCTGCTTTGAAAGTACTAATTAATTTACAATTAAGTACAAAAACAGAAATAAAATCTGACTTTAAATTAGAGGTGGAACCTAATTAAAGATTTTAACTTTGTGTAATTTATCGCATTTTAACCAAAAACTATATATTTAAAAAAAACAACTTTTCAATTAAAAAAAAAATGTTATTGAGCCATCAGATTCGTTAAGGTTTTTAGAAACCCTTGACATTATATGAAAAAAATATCTGCTATAGAAGTGTTAACAATGAACATTAATTATAGCACAATTCCTTTTATTGAATATGGTAAAGAAAATATAAAGCAACAAGGAATGCAATATTACATTTAAGAAACTTAAAGATCAATCAATTAATGTTGTAACCAACTTAATTAGTTTAGTATCAGTGGCAGCAAACTAATTGGCTCAATGCACAACTCCACTCCTTCCTGAATTTAAGGCAGCTCTTCTGTTTCCTGTCTTTTTCTTCTTAATCAGAGATGGGAAGTAACGAAGTACAAATACTTCGTTACTGTACTCGAGTAGATTTTTCTGATATTTTTACTTTACTTTACTACTTATTTTTATGGCGACTTTTTACTTCTACTCCTTACATTTTTACACAAATATCTGTACTTTCTACTCCTTACACTTTAAAAAATTGGCTCGTTACTTTGATTTTGAATCATTTCAATGGAGTTACCGTTATTATTTTTCACGTCATCAATACCAAATTCAATCTAATTGGATGGGAATCTACGTTGCATTTGACGCACCACTACAAGATGAATCGACAGATTCATTGCAGCTTGGTGGCGGTGGCGTTAGAATAGTAGTATGGACGACGAGATGATTGAAAATGAACTCAACGGAGATCTAGTCCTATTGGCAGACATCCATTTAAAATGTAGGCAACGGCATGAAAAAAGTGGTTTCTACTTTTACTTTTATACTTTAAGTAAATTTAAAAGCCTGTACTTTGTTACTTTTACTTTAGTAAAGAAGTTTAATCAGTACTTCCACTTTTACCAGATTATTGTTTAACACAAGTATCTGTACTTTTACTCAAGTACGGAAAGTGGGTACTTTTGCCATCTCTGTTCTTAATGAACTGATTAATCCAGGTGTGCCTAAACTCAGTAACCATGGCCAGTCACACCTGGATTAATCAGTTAAACCCAGCAATGAAAGATAGGAAACAAAAGAGCTGCCTTAAGTTCAGGAAGTAGTGGAGCTGTGCATAGAGCCCATTGGATATAACTCTTGTTCTTCTGGTTGATGTTCTAATTAGTGTTGGGCCGATGCAGTTTTTTGGCCCCGATACCAATACCCCATACCTGGATGTGCAGTATCAGCCCATACCGATAGCATCTGTTTGAAATTGATGTGTGTGTATATATCAAGAACTACATACTACTTGGATATAAAATAATTGCTATCATGGCTTTGTCAAGCTGCTGCCTACCTTTGTGAAGCAGGAAAAAGACTAATACAAAGTGAATCCAGTAGAACTTTTTATGGCCTACCTGGAATGGATGACAATAGTTGAATAAACTTTTGGTTCTCAAAATGGTATCGGTGCCCTATTTGTTGGTACTCACCGATACCCATAACACCATTTTAGTGCTGGATCGGCGCCCCGTCCGATAGTGGTATCGGTGCAACATTAGTTCAATTCAATTAAGTTTATTTATATAGCGCCAAATTCACAACACTAGTCATCTCAAGGTACTTGATAGTTCAACCAGATCATCCAGTCAAATTGATTCAAAGTTTTTTATCTAAGGAAAACCAGTTGATTGCATCAACTCATTGACTCAAATACAATCCCTCACACTAAGCATGCTTGTAACGACAGTGGAGAGGAAAAACTCCCTTTTAACAGGAAGAAACCTCCAGCAGAACCAGGCTCAGTGTGAGCGGCCATCTGCTGAGGCCGACTGGGGTTCAAGGAGACAGAAGCAGAGATACAAAAAGCAGCTGTAAAAGGCGGCCCCGTCCAGGAAACACACAGCCAGGCACCGAGCTCCGAGCCAGCTCCCATGTCAGAGGATGAAGAGAGCACATCCAGCCAGTCACGGTCAGAGAAACAGGACCGCACTGGAAAACAGGCAGATCTCCAGCATCTATAAACAAGGGTGTTGATGGCAGCAGCACAGCTGATGTTTCTCTCCAGGATGGAGTCACAGCCAAACAGGAACAGATGAGGCAAAGCTACTATGAGAAAAAGCAGAGAGAGCATAACGTTAGAGATTGAACTAAAAGATTTTGCAGAATAGGAGAATAGGGAGAGAATGAAGCAGAATGATGAAAAGGGGTCCCTATGTCCTCCAGAAGTCTAAACCTATAGCAGCATAACTATAGAGAAAGCTCAGGATAGTTCTAATGTAAATAAAGTCATGCACGTTTGTTAGCCCACCTGAGTGTTACGTTTGTAGAGGACACCTGGGGAACTACGTCCCGTCTCCTGGGACCCTCGCTGAGAAGTTTGGACTGTTTGGTGTGACTGGCTGTCATTCAGGGATTCCCAGAACCATAGGGCCACTTCCGTGGCACTGAGATGTTTGTTTTTTAAGTCTGAATACCTTCAATGAGAACAATTGTGATACTGCTCATGCATGAGATTTACAGAGAATACAAAAGGTTCCTCCTCAGGATTATAGTATGTCTGAAAAAACACATTTAACACATTAAAATTTGTACAATTATCTAATCAAAATTAACTCATTAAATTCCCGGCCTTACTTTATATACATTCAAAGATTTAGGTCTTGCCCTGTCAGTTTGCTGTTTTTGTGAAAACAGACCAATGTTCCATCCAGTGAGAATACTGCTTTAGTTGATGTGTATTTTATGTTTTTATATACGTCTTTGTATCAAACTTAAGATACAAATTTGAACATGTCAGAGACACCAATGTTGTGAGTCAAAGTTATATTATTTTTGCAGGTGAAGAATTGTTTAAATATTGGGATACCAAACATCCATGTTGTTTTTGTCTGAAAGTGTAATATTTTTACCTCAATAAGCTGAGGAAGGTCTTGATCTTCAGTAGTTAGAGGAAGTTAAACCAGAAAAAGATATAAGTGTGTCTCTATATGTAGTGTCTTTGCTACAGTGAACGGATGAGCGTAAAGAAGATCCCAGCTTTACTGTTATCCTCAGAAGTCTCAGTGAGAAAAATGAGTGGGCTACGAATTCAGAGAAATAGTGTTCGTCAATGTGCACTAAATTTGTGGTGTGAGGAAAATGAGTGTAGAACTGTGCAGTTTGCAGATGATTTCCAGATGTTAGCTAATGACTGCTAACGCTGTGACGGCAGAGCTGTAAAGTTTGCTACGACGGATCAGAGTATAAAGAAACAAAAGTATAGATGACATTTTATGTCCTAACTGGACTCCAGATCTTTTCCTACTAAAGAATCCGCTGGTGGATTGTTATTACTCTTTATAATAAGGCAATTCTGCATGTTATGAGACCAGAGTCATCAGAGCAACAAAAAAAAAGAGTTAATAGTAGGTAAATTAGAGATTAGCATTTTTAATTAATATAATAAAAGACTAATACATGTCTAAGTCACTCAGGTCTCTCTTCCTACTGGCTAATCCATGTTCTGATAGCCTACTGCTAATAGAGACACCCTGTAGGTTTTTACACAGACATTTGACTGGCTTTAACGTTCAATTTGAAATACTGTCCTTCCTCAAAACATATCTTTCTTGTGTGAAATGAATATAAAACGGCCATATTTATTATTTTGTGTATAAAGGTCTCACTAAAGCCTGGTAAGCTATGATAGCGGCTAAAGGCCTGAAAGCTAGCTCTGACTATTTGGATTATTGTGTAAGTAATTTCTAAGATAAATAAACCAAATAACCAAATAATTGTTTAAAAAAATAGCTTATACATTCAGATAAACCCTAAGTCAAAGTCTAGGTCTTTAATATGGGGATCGACGTCCCCTATTAGGTCATTGAAGTACTGGGAGGTTCATGAAACGTTTCCCCTGCCAACAGCTCTAGGCCTTTGATTCATCACACATAACTCATACCATCTGTGTCATTGTTTAAACTAGTTGAAAATACTTTGTTTTTGTCACCTTTACATGGGTAAAACAAGGTCTCATTAAAAACTAATAACTGCGGAGGTATTTTTCATTTATTTTGTTGTTAAAGAAAGTAGTTCTAAAGCTCTCCGTACTTAAATTTAGTGCAACATGACACTGCAATCGCAATATATAACATATGATCGCCAGAGATGGCAAAAGTACCCACTTTCCGTACTTGAGTAAAAGTACAGATACTTGTGTTAAAAAATACTCTGGTAAAAGTGGAAGTACTGATTAAACTTCTTTACTCAAGTAAAAGTAACAAAGTACAGGCTTGTAAATTTACTTAAAGTATAAAGTAAAAGTAGAAACCACTTTTTTCATGCCGTTGCCTACATTTTAAATGGATGTCTGCCAATAGGACTAGATCTCCGTTGTGTTCATTTTCAATCATCTCGTCGTCCATACTACTATGCTAACGCCACCGCCACCAAGCTGCAATGATTTGCCACGAATGAATACCGCCGAATCTGTCGATTCATCTTGTAGTGGTGCGTCAAATGCAACATAGATTCCCATCCAATTAGACTGAATTTGGTATTGATGACGTGAAAAATAATAACGGTAACTCCATTGAAATGATTCAAAACTTAAGTAACGAGCCAATTTTTTAAAATGTAAGGAGTAGAAAGTACAGATATTTGTGTAAAAATGTAAGGAGTAGAAGTAAAAGTGGCCATAAAAATAAGTAGTAAAGTAAAGTAAAAATATCAGAAAAATCTACTTGAGTACAGTAACAAAGTATTTGTCCTTCGTTACTTCCCATCTCTGATAATCGCATAAAAGACTGCGATTTGCCATTTTCTATGAGGCGCCAAATTGGACAAAAGGTGAGACCAACCACACACACAAAAAAAAAAAAACTATTTTGAAAACAGAGGAAATCTGCCTATGAGTGAACGACACCATTCCCGGACCGAGAGTGCACGAAACCTGGTGAGAAAGTGAAAGGCCGATCTAAAGTGCGCAGGAGACGGATCGAGAGGCCGGTTGAAGTTGTGCACGAGGGCCGACTGAAATGAAGAGACCGAATGAAACTGTTGGGTCTCTTTTCAAAAAACTTTGAGGCTTATTTGAAGTTTTATGCACTATATATATAAAGTTATATTTATATATATATATATATATATATAACAAATACAGATGGGGAAGGCTTCTGTGAATAACAAAAACTAATCAGCCGTTCATTTAGTTTTGCTGTCGCTTTTTGTGAGGAAAATATGGAGTACTTATAATTTTAATATCATTTTGACCAAGAAATTTGTTTCTGGTTTCTCTTTAGATGATACCGCGCCTACTATTTATACTTTTTAAATAATTTCTGACCAAACTTGTTTTAGTATCTAGATTTTCATGAGCAGTTTTCCTTCTACATAAAAGAACTACACTGAAACAGAACTTGATACGATTTCTATGAAATTATTGATATACTGCAATAACGCGTTGGCTTTTGGATTGTCACTACAGTTGATCAATTTCTAAATAAAAGTAAAAAATATTAAAGTGGTGTATTGGACCAGATCATCCAACATTCAGGACTCAGAAACCGTGGTGGGAAAATGAGAAAAAGAAGGTCAAAAGTTTTGACTGGATAATCAGTAATAAGTTAGAAAATATACAAATTGGACAAAATACAACATGAAACAATATGTCCAGTAGAACCATTCATGCACACACATATACTCATTCCGCCATTGTAGTGAGGACCATGTTTTGACTTCCATTGACTTCCATTGATTTTCTGTAATTTTCAACCCTTTCTATGCCCTAACCCTAAAACTAACCATTACCAATGCATACCTCACCCTCACCCTACCCAATTGACACCTTAGCCCTAAAAATAACTATTAGTAAAATAGCAAGTGAGGACCGGCAAAATGTCCTAAACTTTGCCAGAACAGTTCATCAATTTGATGGTAAAATTGGAAAAATGGTCCTCACTCTGATGGCTAGACATGCACACACACACACACAAGGAGAAAGGAGAGGTTCAGTTGTATCTTGGATTCTTCTCTTTCACACAAAGCGCTGTAAAAAGTGAGGCTCATCGAACCCTCAACGCTATTGGAACATGCAGGAAGCTTGGTCACTTTTCCCATAGCTTGAAGAAAAGAGAAGCTTTTAACTCTGTGTTGTCCTTAATATTCAGCCACGCAGACTCATGACACCATTCATTTATAATATCCTAATCGCAGTATAGTCCACAATAATCTCAATCCCACATTTTCATCAAATCGCGCAGCCATTGTTTCAGTTACAATTGTTCATCTCATTGTGAGGTTACGGTATCATTAGGAGAAAAGGCGGCTTTTTCAAAACAGGGGAAAAAGGAGAAGTTTCAAAGTGGTGAAACTTTTCTTTTTCATCCTTACATTTGGGTGAACATAGATGCTGCAAAGAGGACTGTGGGCTTAGTGCACAGGGGGCCCGTTGGCCTCAGCTGAAGAATTTAATCTGCTGTTATTTAGCATTTCACGCCAACTGACTTTTACTGTCCTGTGTTACGATAACTGTAGCATTTGTAACGATGGATTGGGCTGTAGACTGAGGATTAGAACGGTTATTTTAGTTGGATCTGATCTAATATTAACTGCATCTGTTGCGACTTTGTTTGCTGCATTGAATTGATGACCTGCAGAGGTAGTTGCTTATGTCCAGCATGTTGTTTGCTCTGTTTCTGTAGCATACTCCACGCCAGGCGCCACAGCTCCCAACAGGTTTGTCGGCATCGGATCACGGGACAACAACTTTTTGAACATCCCGCAGCAGACACAGGTAAGAGCTCAGGGGTTCTGTTCTCCCTGCCTGCATCTTCATGTCAAAAGTGTGAAAAAAGGGTGAATCTCATCTGCTTTGACTGTAATTAGAGGTAAAACTCAGGAAACTTATCAGCCGTGTGGACGTGAGCCAAAGTTCCTCAGAGCTTGGCTCGTTCTCTCGTCTCGGGTTACTGTGACCCACAGCGCTCCATCAGAGTGTGCGTTAGTACATCTGTATTTTACTGTACTTGTGTGGTTTACCATATGTGCTCAACTGTTTATTTGGCGCGTACGCAGCCGACCCTCAAGGCAAACGGCCTTTTTTTCTCTACCTTTCCTTCCCTCGCTCCACCCAATCCCCTGCTTTTCCACTCTACTTTTTCACTCATTTTTTACTTTCCCCCTCTTTCACCTTCCTCGCTCCTCGTCCCTGTGCCTCCACCATTACCGTCGGTACTTTTCTCATTAGCGTCTAACCACACCCGCCTGGAGCCAGCTCAGTCCCGCACCTCCACATATGGAAACCATCTCAGGATCTCCTCCCTAATTTTCGCTGCCCTTCACTCTCTCGCTTTTTGTCTTGCTTTCCATTTCTCAGCTTCTCTGTTTTTTTTCTGCCCTCTTGACTCATTTGTTTGTTTTTTCTCCTATTATTTGAATTCGCTGCAGATGCCTAAACATTGCAAATGTTCTGCTTTTATTTTTTACACACAGAGGGGTTGGCTTTCATTTTTTTTTTTTTTTTTTTTTTAAAGATCAAAAATAACCACAAAACAGTAAAAAAGGTTCATGCAAAAGTGTCTACGTGGTGACCAGAAGCTCTAACTGCCAGCCGTGGCCTTCTTCTGCCCTCTGGTGGCGAATCTGCTGCTTTACAACAGCATATGAGAAAAGACAAAAAACAAAAAAAGATCTCAACAATGGCTGCAAATGTGGGGCGTAAAGAGAAACAGAGTTTTAAGCTCATGTCGAAGTCACGTCTCAGTCGTCTCGTTACCCCGGGCGACCAGACATGATGTCATAGACGGTGGATCTTGAATTTGAGACGGGCTTTTTGCTTGAGAGGGGTCCAGAAAAAGGAAGGAGGGTGACCAACGTCTGCTGCCAGGGATTTAGTGGAAGAGCTTACAAGAGATAGATGGGTGGAGGGCAGAGTAACCAAGAAGGGAGAAGTTACAATACCCTGGGCCTGCTGGGACGGCGCTGAGAGGGCAGGAGGCAGCACCAGGGCCGCGGGGTGGTATTCATGCGACCTGTTAGAGTCAAACAACACAAAAGGCTGCTTCCCCAGAGGAATGGAAGACTTTCCCAGGCTTGACTTCTAGGATGTTGGCACTTCTTGAGCCTTTGGTTCCAGACTCTGCAGCCAACTTCAGCAGCGGTGACCCAGTTCTGCCCTCTGCTCACACTGAGCAGGAGACGCCCGACATGAAGGTGGTGTGAGGGACACGCAGGGCCAGAGCGCTGCAGCCCCACAGAGAGCCACTTACTGCTCAGCTATAGCTGCATGCACCAGATCAGCCGTTCTCAAAGGGGGGTTCAGGACCCCTCAGACGGTCACCACACACCCAGCAGGGGGGCATCGAGAGATGGTTTTCACAATCATTGTGATGTGATCCCTGAAGTATGTGGAGCTCTAAAATATACATGAAACAAATAAATTGTACAATAAAATAAGTAGATGTAACATGTCTAATGCGTGATTAAAATATGAAATATACCAATACATTATAAAATGCACTCTTAAATACCTTAATGTCCAATTGAATAATTCAAATTGCATAAAAAATTATTAAGTAAATGTAATTATTTCATTTTATATTCGTAGATAAATATAGAGTGAATTGTATGCATGTGATTTTATGTGTTTTACCTGAATTTCAGTTTTCAAAATATTGTTACAATAATGTACATCATCACATAATCTCCATGTATTATATTGAGAGTTTATGATGTAAACCAGTGGCTCCCATGCACCCCCTAGGGGGTGCTTAGTGTAATTGCAGGGGGTCAGTAAATGAGCAATTTTTGTGGGGTAACCAAATATATATATATATAGATATAGATATATATTGTGAATTAAAGACAATTGCAGATTATTTTGTGAATCACTGTAATAAACCAACACAAAGCAGCACTTTATTGTGAACTGTAATATAATGATAGGTGTTCTTTTAACAAATTAATATCTGCAAAACTGCTTAAAATATGTTTGATGGCAAAACATAATTATGTTTTTGTATCATTTTAAATTAATTTAGTCAATAAGCAGTTTTTTAAGAAGTGTTCCGTTTGAATTTTAAGACGAAAATAACCTAATCTCCTTCTCCTCTTTGTTTTTATTTCTTCCAGTCTTGGTTCCTCTGACAAGATATGTGCACAAACCAGCAAATAGAAATCTTTCTTTACTAATTAACACAAGAAGAAAAACAAGAACAGATCAACAACCTGCAGGAAGACAGTAATTGTCTAACCGACCTCTCACCAACCCGCCCTGACAGTACGTCTCATCCGATACGAAATATAACCCGAGCTACGCAGGAAAATGACGCTTCTAGAGGAACACTGCACATATTCACGCAGTCAGAGGGAGGACCTGATTGGATGACGAGGGGAAAGGGATGGACTCATAGGATGCTAGGAGGAAGATGGAGGTGAAGGAGGACAGCGGTACGCAGGCCTCCTCACGCTACCGCCGTCCAGCGGCGATGCGGGAGCAGCTAAAGGCCGCGGCAGCGGTCAGCTTCTCCCTGCTTTGTGAGCAAATGGCTTAAAATAATCAACTGTCCAGCAATTACAGATTCAAGCGAGAACCCCCCACCCCCCCTTTGATGTCATCATCGCCGTATCGAAACCCAGTCGGCTCCTTTCACCCTGCGACCCATAAGCAGGCGACCATGCCAAACCATCTCCAGATTGAAAGTTGCACTACAAGCTGAATCAGTCAACACTAACCCTAACAATGTGCACTATTTACCTACGAGGCATGGGAGGAAAAACCACGCCGCCTATACCGTTACGTTCTACGAAAAGGAGACAAACCACAGCCCACCAGAAGCCTTCACGTGTCCTCGACCCGCCACGGTTCAGCCCAGCCAATCAGCGGCCTCCCCTCACTCTCACTAAGTTCTCAGTCTGTGTGCCATGACTGCAGGATTTTATTTTCCCACTTTTCAACATTATATTTCTATATATATATATATATATATATATGTAAAAGCTTTCCATTTTTTTTTACCCGATAAGCTCAGTAAAATCCCTCCTCGCATGACGCCATCAGTGTCCAAGATAGTGAGAAATTTCACCGCTGTTGACAGCAGCTATGAGTTCCCCTATTCGACCTTTTTATAAACGTAGATGAACACTGACTAATATTCCCCCCTCGCCTGTTTGCTTATTGGAATCAACTCTTTTTTGGGGGGTTTGTACTGTTTTCTAATTGTTTTTGTATTTGAATGGCAGCACCTTAAAGTTAAAGAAGAAGAAATGATATGTTGAGGTAAAAAACACGGAACCCTTGAGAAACAGTAAGAATTTGGGAAAAATGTCCACCTGCTGCTTTAGATGCGGAGATTGGTATTAACGCCTCGGGAAGCTACAGTGAGCAGCTGGTTAGATTCTTTTTTAAATGGTTTTTTGGTAGAGGTGCCACTCGGTTAACGATTTTTCAGATTTGTTAAGTCTTTCCAGAAGGATCAAGAACAAAACTTCTCCACTGTCACTTTACCTGTAGGCGAGTTTATCTGTTGAAGTGGGAAAAAAGTATTCAACTATTGAACCTAGTTAAATAAACGGAGATCGATGGATTTCAATCAGTCGGCACTTTATTTTCTTATCTTTGCAGAGAGAGAACAGTTGATCATACAGCCCTTACGGCGCAGTAATCAGCCCAGTTCTGCCTAGACAGTTTATCTAATTGATGAAAAAACTGAGTCAAAACAAATTAAACACACTTTAACAAACCTTGGGAAACAATTTGGCTTTTCGTGGGAATAAGTAGGTTTTTTACTAAAACCACCCCTCACTCAGACATTTTCTCAGCCTTGCAGGTGAAGCAAACTGAGTAAAAACATTTTTCACTGGATAAATAGCATAACTAAATATATGAGACAAGATAAATCTAAATTTTCTGACCACACTGTTTTATTTTGGTCTTTTTGCAGCCGGCAGTGACGACATTGGAGGATGAGTTTAAAGTTGGGGTGTAGAAAAACAAGAGGTTTTAATTCTTATTTATTTTATAGAAAATCTGGAAATGATGACAATCAGTTGCTTGAGATAAAGGGAACAGAGCATTAAATACGTTTGACCTGCTAGTAAGAACTTTACTAATTAATTAGCACTAAAATCTGAGGTAGTTTGAAACAAACACCAAGTTTCTACAGGTGTTATTGCACTTTAATTCACTCCACGTATGCTTCATATTTTAGAGCTGCAGGTCCCACCTCCATTTTTAAATCCAACATGGCTGACGTACATATTAAAAGTAGTTACAAACTGCTACTATCTGCACCTGTGTCTGGTAGTAGAAAAGCTAACTGCGTATAATTGCGAAGCTTAAAGCAAAACGTAACATTTAAACACTGTAAAAAAGTTCTAATTAAAGTTGACGTCTTAATTGGAAGTAATACATTTCTTGCCATCTTTATGTAGCTTAAATTCAAATTAGCTAGCCCCAAAGACTGAAGCTAACAGCTAGTCCAAGAAAATTTTCAATCCACTTGCTCCTATAAAATCATTTCACATTTTATTAACCATGCACTAGGAGAAAAAAGTTTATTTTATTCATGTTTTAAATGTTTAACCAATTTAACAGGAGTTATGGGAGAGAAAAATAATCTTACAGAAGGAAATCAATTGAGTTTTTTTATATGTATGGGTAGAGATAGAAAATATAAGTCAGTATTTTAAAATACAAAAGCACACAGTTGGGGACTTCATTAAGAAAACCTTTGGCCATTAGTTTGATGCTGATTTATCTGAACACATTCAATAAAAAAGCTTTATTTTACTTATCAAAATAGGTAAAGAATCTAAAATTTGCCTCTTTAATATTCAACCTTCAGTTGGAAGCAGTGCGTCCCCAATTATCTTCCTGACTGAAATGCAAACTTAAAAAGGAACATGTTGGAAAATTCTGAAAATAAATTGTATATGTATATATATATCAAATTTTGGTTGAAGTGAACTGTGTTACATATTCTAGATAAATGTTTTACGCGGACTCTGCTATTGCCTCTACAAACATAATTTTTTTATTTCATTAATCAAAAGAGGTGCAGATTAAAGGTCATCTCTACCATTCTAAAACAACTACCGTCTAAAAACTTTTTATTCCGGCTTTAAACTAGTTATTTTGTGGCGTACAAAAAAATGAAGTCAGAGGCTGTGCAACACCAATTATCTTCCTGACTGAAATGAACACTGAAAACGGAACATTTCTGATATTAAATTATATATTAAATTATAAAAAGCAAAAACATTCAAGATAAATGTTAAACTTAGGCTCTGGTAATGCTTTTATAATGGTAAACATTACTTATTTATTTCATTAATCAAAAGTGGTCAAAATTAAAGTATATTTCCGCTGTTCTAATAGAACTCTAATCTCTTTTTTTCCGCCTTAAAGGTGTTTTATAAAGAAAAGGACGTGCATCCCTAATAATGCTCCTGAGTGAAAAACACAAAACAGATAATTGTTAAAAGTAACAACCTTATGTTAGGAAAGACAAGCTGTATTTTACTTTGATTTTTATGTTCTGTTTTGCGTCAAATAGTCACTATTAAACACAGGCTGATCCATTGTGACGGACTTCCTCCTAACTCTACTTCACAGCTAAATGGTGTAAATAACCACTAAGTTTAAATCTGCAGATTTTTAACAAGTTCTTAGCTTAATTTTTGGGTAAATAACTGAGGTATATCTGAGACTGATATAGCTGAAGGTAGTTCCTAGAACCTCTTGGACTAGTTTTTAGCCTCTTGGACAGCGAGACCAAATTTATACTAATTAAAGACGCCAGGATTAGTTTCCCTTTTAATCAGATTTGATTTCATTCTATCATACAACTTTAAAGCTTAAAGGATGGTCTGTGAACAGTTTAAAACACATTAAATCTAAAGCTGCCAGCTGTAGCTTCCTGTTGAGGTTATCACTTTTCTCATCCAGCAATCAAAGAAGCATATTAACCCAAATGGTAATTTTATTGACATGGTTTAATTGTTTTACTACCGGAAGGCCCTTTACTCTAGGAAAAAAAAAAAAAAGTTTGGTTTTGACAATCAGAGGATTTTTTTATTTATTTCTGGGGACAGACGAGCTGAACCAACTAGATTTTTTTAAAAGGCACCTACTCCATCCGTTCCTCCTGTAAGTTTATCCTTTTGTTTACACTCCCAGACAGGCTGCTGCTCCAAGAGCTGAACGCCACACTGCGGAGCAAAATAAACACGTCACATTTCTGGTTGGGTTTTTTTTTTATTTTAGGGGGGACGCCATAAGAGATCAAGAGTCAAACACTTGTGCCAGTTAAAGGTATAGTGGAGGATTTTCATAAAATTTTTTGAAAAGACCCACTTAAAAAAAAAAAAAAAAATGCACATGCACAACCCTGTACCCGCTCCTGAGAGGGAACACCTATTTAACGCGTGTGAGAGCGTGCACGAGCCTGTTTCTCCTTGTGCACGCTCTGTTTAAAAGTTGCTGTTTGCATCGCTCATACAAGCGTACTTTCCAAAAGAACATATGCAATTTTTCCACTATGTCAGACTCACCTACTTAAAGTTGTAGGGAAGTCATATTTAAATTTATCAGACGATATCCCAAAAGTTAGAAAATCCTGTCTTAAAATCTGTGGTTTTTTGCTATCTTAATAAATTTTTTTGATCATAGCATCTTGATTCATGTGTCACAGCTAATATACGCAACGATTGAAAAAAGAAATAAGAATCATTTACTTTCCCATTGAGTTCCATCCCAGCTAAGAGAACTGGCAGCTTTGCGAGGCAAGGACTCAAACATGTACGGCTGGAAGCCTTCTACACCAAACCAAGCTTCTGCCGCCCTGGCGTCCTCTTCCACAACATCTTCGTCCCGCTTTCCTCCTCTAAATAAAAAATGGATGACGGAGGAGACTCATCTACGACCTCCGACACTAAACTGTCCTCCTCTTGCATGTTTCCTCTGTCCATAGCGTTCCTTGACAGTGTCGTTTCTAAGTCACCAATTTAGTGCTACTTGGTCCCAATGGAATTTCCCATTGGGAACCTACTAGCACTAAGTTGCTAACTGGTTAGCAAGATGCTTCCGACACCGGCCACAACCAAACTTGCTTGTGAACCTTCCGCCACAACAATCCCGCCCTTTTGATAGACGACCAATCACATTCACTTTATTCACTCGCGTAAAGTCGTGCACCACTCGGGAGAATTCGGAAATATAACGGTTGGAACTGCCGTTTCTCTACGACTTAAAGTGAAAATGGGGGCAAGCACGTAGGACGGCCTTACATAAACATATCATCAGAGTTATTGACAGTTAGGAGGACCACTTATTTAGATGATCCACCCAGAAAAAGAACATCCTGCACTATACCTTTAAGAGTTGTTTCGGTTACACCCCCAACACACCAGCACTAAACCTGAGCCATTGTAAATGGAAGAGCCCTTATAGATCAAATAACTGCACTGAAACAATCATGTCAGCCAATCATGAAACAAAACAGCAGATTAAGTTAGTTAGACCAGGCAACCCGTTTTTAATTAGAGTTGCATCAACCGTTCAGTATTAACCGCATCCCCGCGCCGCGGAACGCGCACCAGATTTCAAAAGGGAAGTTTAAAATCTAGACAATCCATGGAGGCCTTTATGCTTTCAGTCATGTTTTATACAGAACAACCCGCATGCTTTCTTCCATCGTCACGGGTCCAAACACCCATCCAAACCTCACAAAATAACTGGACTGCCTGGCCGCGCTCTTTCGCTGCGGGGAAACCTGTCGTAGTTGGCCCAGCAACCGGCGGCCATGAGGAGAGGACCGGCTGAACAAGGCGTTAGGCTGATTTCTTTTCGAATCAAAGGAAGTGCCTCTGTAATCCCATTATGCAATTTGTCAAAACATGAATTCAGGTTGTTTTTTCTCACATATAAGCTATAGTAAATGGTTAAAAAAAAACTGTCTGGAGGGGGATGGAGAGAAAAAAACAATTACAGCTCACTAGATAATCTCAAGCATCTTTATATATATAATACACTTTTCTATATATTTATAGATATATACTTCTTTTTTTTAGTTTGCAAGATAAGCTCTGTGGCAGTCTAGTTATTTTTTGAAGCATGGCATACATCGCAGTCATAGGACGCATCTGGAAAATGCTAATTGGAGCTCCAGTACCAGTTTCTAAGCCCACAACCGTTCGAAAGGAAATCAGATCCACCGCAGACCCATTCGTAGACGTAGAATAATCGGTTTCAGTAAAGTAGAGATAAGGATTAAAAAAATTTAGACAGATTTGTTTTCTTTAACGTTTCGATGGGAAGTATTGTTCTTTAAATGATGTATGTCGATTGAGCCATGTGCAATGCCTTGGTAGAGGAATTGTGTTTGTTAGAGATTGTTTGAGGGTGTCATGCAAAAAAAAAAGAAAATGGAGGGAAACTCTCTTTTTTTTCTGTTAGTTTGTTTGTTTTTTAAGTCCACGTGCTCCGGGACTCTAAATACACGGGCAGTGAGTTCAAAAAAAAAAAAAGGAAAAAAAAAATTGGGGGGGGACATTGCTTTTGATTTTTATTTTGTTTCGTTTCAACACTTTTTCAAGAACGAGAAATTCACTTTTATTGACTTGTTTTCGAAAAACGCGAGAGTTAAAGGAACAATTTCGCAGCTCATAAAATATATATCATTATGAAAACTGGTGCTTTTGTAAAAGAATAAAGTACATTCAGTCTCTATTATACATAAATAATAATAAACAAATTAAGTGTTATCGTTTAAAAAAAACAACTAATTTTTAGGAAAACATGCATTACTCTATTTCTTTGTATTTACCGGGGAGAGGGAAGGGGGGGGGGGTCATTGTACGAAAAGGTTGTTGTAACAAAAGGCATTTTTCTTCTCCCAATCCTTCATAACACAGCAGACAGAAAGAGAGGATAAAAAGAAAAAACACACAGATCCTCTTGTAAAAAAAAAACAAGAACTTGTAAAAACTGTTTCCTGCGGACTCTATCCCCCCCCACCCCTCCACCAATGATCCTAACCCGGGACAAAGACAAGGTCTTCCCAGATTCCGGGAGATGCACAAGTCTGGATTCCTGTTCCTGAACGACGTCGACGAAAGACAAACATGCTGTAAATGATGACGTCTGACAGGATGTTTTCATTCGTGACTCCATCTTTGATCAGCGGAGTTTTAGACCACACCAACCCGTCCCCCCGTCCCCTCCCCTGAAACACCCACCAGCTGTAAATGATGATAAATATTTGTTTGGTGACGTAGTGTTATAGACTCAGAGCATCTTTAAAGGTTGTCCCTAAAAAGTGCCTTTTGTTCACAGATTCCATCTTGTATTCCTGAGTGCCCGTCTCAAAAAGAAAATAAGTCCCCTCCCTCCTATTTCTTTATCTTCTTCTTAGAGCTTTTTCAAGCTGTATACATAGTACTAAAGGAAATTGGTGTGATTTAGTTGCTCTTTTTATTGTTCAATACTTTAGAAAACCTGGGAAAAAAATGTACAAAAAAACAAAGCTCTCCTCCGTCTTGCTTCTCTTCCTCTGTATCTTGTCGTCTGTTTATCTTGGACACTGGAGTAGTCTGTAGCTGCGTATCCTCCTCTCTCTCCTCCCCTTGCTTTCCTCCCTATTCTACCTTCAGCGGGGTTAAAAAAAAATAATGGAAAAATGAACAAAAAAAAAAAGAATACGCAAATATTTTTTCGTTTTGTTTTTTGTTTGTTTTTTTTTTTTTTTTGTCTGAGCAGAATGCAATTAGCTCACATGTTATCCTTGTCTGTACGCTTCACATTGTATTACCATACCCATCTTCTCCAGCTTCTCCATTCAACGGCTGATGTAAGTGAACAAGTTACACCACGAGGCTCTGGGCGGGGCCGAGGACTCCGATGGGGGAGGGGTTAAAAGAGGCGGGTTTTGGGAGACATTCTGGCGGGAAATCAAACAGGATGGAGAGCTAGGAACACTGGTTAAAGATAACCAGCGGGACTCCTAGTATAAATGTTTCTGTTCATAATTTAAAGAGAAATTATTATAATTTGGGGTTTAATGTTTTTTTTTTAACCTTCACTTTAATTCATGACCTTGCTAGCAACAGTGAATGTGATTATTTATATAAAAGAAAAAGTTAGCCTTAGCACCATGAAGCCACTTAGTAAAAGGCTCACCGCAGACTAAATATTTCTGGCTTCGTTGTCATTTTTGGTGGGGATATTCACTTAAAAAGACAGCAGAATTTTTTGGAAACTGACGAATCTCATTTCGAATTCTGAACTTGAAAATAAAACGTTGTCTGTTGAAGTTAAAGGAGTCCTAACCTGGTATTTTATACATAGAACCCCCCTAAAAAATATCCAGAAATTCTTGTTTAATAATTTTTAGAGGAAAAAAAACATTAAATAAAGCAAATTCTAACCCCTTTTGTTACTCCTAAGGGTACTAATTGTATATATTTGTGTGGAAATAGCACTTTGTGGGCTTTTCTAGTTCTAACCCCCCCCCCCCCCCCCCCCCCCCAAAAAAAAAGGCACTTTAACACTCTGGATTTTCTGGTAGATTTCAATTTAAGCCCAACACAAAAATATTTGTTTTAAAAGGAAAAAGTACATTTTCCAGGCGATGACTCCTTTAACTGTCTAAGTTGGACATGTGAAGAGCTTTAAGCAGCCTCAATTAACTAAATAAAAAATGCAGGCATAAAACAGCCAATACAGCTCTCTATTTGAAACACAAAAGTTCGAGCATTAGGAAAGGTAAAGCATTAGGAGGGTTGATGGTGGTGTATTTATTTTAGGATGTCCTCTCCAGAGTCTTTAGTCGTGTCATGGCGGGCCCAGATTTAGCACTTACACCTCTCAAGCGCTTGAGAGAGATTCAAAAATGATAATATTGTTTTTATAACTCTTTGCAATCAAGCTAATTAAACAATTAACCCAACTACCAATGAGAAGCCATTTCAGAGACTCACAGAGAGCAGTGAGTTTGAGCATAATCTGCCTCTATGTTCACTTTCTGCCTGGTTTTCCTTTGACCTCTGACCCAGAAGTCCCCACCATCCTTTCTACGGAGCAGCGTCTCGTTCTCGCAGCTCCCCTCCCAGAGCCCGTGGTGAAATGCATGTGTTAATTACAGTTTCTTTTCCATAATAATGATAAAAAGCAGTTTGAAAAGAGCAATGCCTTTACCTGATTGAATAAAAGGATGTTCTTGGCTGTACCAACGGTCTGCTGGCT